GATTTTTACGTATTTTCACACTTATACTCTAGAGACATAAAGACGTTTCTCGGTTTTAGGTTGGAAGTTTCTGTTTTTTTAGGACCACCTTTAAAGTTAATTAAATAAAAAAACTTATGGCAAAAATGGTAATTTGTTATACAATTTATAGGTAACTTCAAGGTTTGCAAACAAAAAAATGCAACTTGGGTGCATTAGTACTGTTTATATTGGTTCCAATTCGCCGATTTTAGACGCATACCACACATTATCTAAATAAATATTGCACAATACAATTAAATGCAAATTTATATTAAATATAGCGAATTTTGAATTTGTATTCAAACGTTTCAATGTCGCATCCTTGAGAGTTTGTATATAATACTTCTGACTTGCTGCATGACTAGAGCCATTTGTATTTCAATTACAAATTGCGGTTTACTTCTGAGGTCTGATATTAAATGGCAACTACAGCCGATGTGAATGCCCATTCTGAGGGATGTATCTATACATTGAGGACTCTAGTTAAAAGTGGTTCTATTTTCTACTTATTCAACTTAATCATATCAGAAATATGGTCTTAACATATATTCATCTTTATATCTTTATATCAATCACTGACATTACAGGTTGCAAGTTTAAAGAAGTTCTGCAGACGGTATTTGCATAGTGTGACCTTGCCCCAAAAAGGTCCAGCAACAACAGCAAGCAAAGCGACAGCAAGGACATACAGCGTTGCCCTTGACAACGTCTATGTCGCGCCACTTCAGACGCAACGACATAGAACCTTGTACTGAATTTAGAACAGCGAGGAGAACAGTGGCAACAGCAACAACGAATATGCACTAGCCACCCCAATGCCATGCCCCAATTTGCGTCGTCGGCGACCTCGTTAGCTATTTCCAAAGTGCAGCAAAAACAGCAACAAGCGGCTGACTTTGACCCATTTAAATCCTTTGAGGTAAGCAATAGACGCAGCAGAGCGATTATCGAACAGCTCAGTCAGCGTCGTCGACAGCGGCTGCGGCTGCGGCTTCGCAAACATTGCAATAATCTGTGTCAATGTCAGCCGGCGTTGCAGTGGGCGGCGACGCGGCGTTAAACTAACTGAGGCAGAACATAAAACGAGAGAGCACAAAACATAGATAGACTAATAGAGACAGAAAACGACAGAGAGAGATAGAGCGCATACAGTAAACACGCGCCAAACTTTCGATGCGGCTGACGCGTTTCGCTTGCAGTAACTGATGCACATACTCTATATACATATATATATACATATATATATATATATATATAAATATACATACGTGTGTATGAGTGTGTGTGCTCGCATCCTTGTACCCAATATTTAATGCATTTTACAAAACAGCACTAAAAACAAGAGTGTGCTACTGGAGAGCGTGGCTAAGATACCCTGTACCGTCTCATAATTTTATAAAAGTTTACAAATTACAATTAGCAATATTAAACACTTATTTATTATTTGCTTGATGAAACGTTGGCCTTATTTCAATTTTCTCTTATAAACTTGTATGCACCTCTTACACAGTGCATTAGATGTAGGGTATTTGAACGAGCTTGCGCTTGACCCAAATTCTAACGTGAAACGGCCTCGTTCCAATTTGAGCAATATGCTGAGGATTGCAACGACGCCTCTACACTCGTGAGTATTCCAATACAAATAACTGTGTATATGTGTGTATAAATATATATAGTGTTTATAGTATTGAAGGTCGCCAAATTGGGCGACGAGACGCCTGACATTGTTGAATGTCAGCCACAAGCAGAGTATCAACAATAACTAATGTTGCTTTTGTGAAATGCACTTGCGTGCGTTTGCTGACGTAGCGGCATCAGCGAGATATAACTAAGCAACGCAGCTTATCATTTTTGCCGATAACTACCATGCCATTTCCCTATCGATTAAAATCGATCATCTGACTTCGTTTGTCAAGAGTTTCTTGAATACCGTGAAATTTGGATACTCCAAATTGACCGTGTAGGTTCCTGTAATAAATACAGATTTTGTGCATTTCATGCCAAGAATCGCAAGTATCCTCAAATAATATTGCCTTGTACTTTGCCTAATACGCACATCTAGCTCTTAAACTGGATTGGGTAACTTCGTCTAGAAGAAATTGTATTCAGTAATTAAGTATTCTCTTCGTCGAGGAGCCCGACTAAAGCCCTCTTTGTTATTAGTATGTGTCTTATTCGAACCCAGATTCTTTTTTCGCATCTTAAATTGCATTGAAATATTTAAACTTTACTATTAAATCATATAACTTACATAGGACTCATGTGAATATTAAGTGTACGTCCTCCTTTAATGTTGAAAATCTTTCATCATTCTTTTTTTTCTCAAAAAGAAAAGAATTAAGTTCTGTATCATTTCAGAAAATAATTTTAAAAATCTTTTAAAAAAAATTGGGCATAATGAAATGGGCATACTTAATTACCAAACTTTTTGTGTAGGCCACAAAATTGATCTTATATAATACAAAAAATATTATAGGATATGTAGTTTTATCTTTGGAGGATAAATCAAAAATTAAGGCCAACATTGATTCTCGATCAAAAATCGCTAGAAGAAAACCCTACAAACATTTCAAAAGTGTTATTTATGTTCTTGGAAATTACGAAATCTATTGAGGAATAAAATGAATTATAACAAATAAGGGTGCTCTGGTCAAAACGGCGCGACAAGTAGTGATATTCATTCCGCGATATATATACAGACAGTACAGACTGCAGTATGGGCTTTAGTAAGCGAAATTATTTGTTGAATAAGTTCTAACTGAATTTTCCTTTTACTACATAGATTTTTCTAATGTAATTTTCAGGTCAACATTTTTGAATCCATTATTTGTATTTACTGAAGTACAAGTCTAGTATTTGAAATATATTTTTTCTTCAATTTGAAAGAAAAATCCAAAATCTGCAAAATATCAGTATTCATTATACGCAGCTATGAAGTAAATATGAAGTCTACAACATTTACGGTATTCAAAAAAAAACCTAAAAAAGGAGCCTACTTATTATTTTTTGTCGATAATAAAGAAATAGATTGATTTATCGAAAATAAAAAGATAAAAGAGATTTGTTTGTATGATATACACGAGTAGACATTTCCAATTTTATTTTTTATATATCATTTTTCCGATCACTTTTCCGGTTCTATTAAATCGATTTTTGAACAGTTCATACAATTTTGATTTCATTTATGTTTCACCTTAATTAAAAAAACAAATAAAATTGCTGATTAAAAAATCTTTATATTAATAGCGAAGTTACTACAGAGCCCATCATAAGATTGACTAAAAATGATATACCCACGCTTACTGGGTGCGGAGCAGATCGGAATAAACTATATACTCAAGTTTTGAGCTAAAATTGTCGAAAAAAGTATATATTTTTGTGATATTTATTTTTTTGTGAAAATAGATCACTCGTCTGATGAATGAATACGCTGATATATCATTAAATATCTGCAGTTAGATGTCTGTCGACCATGTATACTCCTTATATAACAGTTTAGTACCGCGTCGAATATAAGGAAGCCCCTATTAATTAACAGAACCCATAAATCTTATATATTCTTGATCAGGACGACACAATCAGTCGATTTACCCCTGTCCGTCGGTGTGTCAGTTCTTCTGAGTCTGTACCCGTCCGTGTGACAGCAGCGATCTCGTAAACAACTTGCTTTTAATTTTAAATGCATACACATGTAAACCATACGCATAGGTTTGGCAACTACACACATATAAATGTGAGAAAATGGGATTTTGAAGTTAATCTAGAGCAAGTTATTCAACAATACAGTTCTTGTTGTATAGCCCAAGCTGCAACTCAAGCAATAATACTCATGGAATTTTTAACTTTCTATCTCTAAAATAATAGGGGATCTAGCTCTTACCGGTTTGTGACGCCTCACATCAACGCCTAGATAAATAAACTGAGGTTCTATTCTTTAGAATATATTCCAAATTACAAGACCCTAGCGCCAAAAGTGCTCAAAATATAACTAAATTTGTACAAAGTACTAAATGGTCCAGTAATAATATAATGCTAATTACTACTTTCTTATAATTATATATATATATATATATATATATATATATATATATATATATATATATATATATATATATATATATATATATATATGTATATATATTTCTTAATTTTAGTGGTCAACTTGATTATATATTCTAAATTTCAAATCTCTAGCAGCTTACAAAGAGCATTTCCGTAATAATAGTCAAAGTATTTCACGATTTGTCACGCCAGGAAAATCCACACATTTTATTTTATTATTTGCTTTAATACTGACAGTAAGACGGATATTGCACAAAAATGCACTTCACTGAATGATGATAATCCGTTAGTCGATTTTCTGATTTGGGGACTTATGAACGCAGTAATATTAAAGTTTAATTGCCAGCATCCGATATTCAAATATAACTACAATGACTATAGTACCTTCCATCAATATATCTGTTTTGCTACCAAATTATACTGATAAACTATTTTATATCTATGCTTTCCAAATGGTATTTATGCTATATATAATATAATATTTTTTTATATAATATTTTTTTCACAGCTTAAATTCCTTTAACAGCTTATTTTATTAGAGCAACGCCTGGTAGTGCTGACTATCGGTAGTACTAATAATGTATTAATTAAATTTGCATTTTTGTATATTCACTTTTTGTAGGGTATCACTTTTTATTATTTTGAAAAATTAGTAACACGTTTTTCTTTTTTCGGTTCTTATACAGTTGTTATGGATTTGATAATTAATTATTTACTTTGGTTTGTTTGGTATGTTTCTTGACTTTCCCGTTATTAAAATTTGTAGCTTTGATTAAACATTTTGGATTTGGTGGTTTCGGTTTTTATTGATTTTTGTATTATTAAAATTTTATTTATTATTTATTCTTATTTAATTATCAGAATATTGCCAGCATTTTTAACTAGTTTGGCGGACCTCATCCCATCTGGCTACTTACCTCCCTGATCATCGATCTCAAGACCAAATTCATCCTCTGAGATGGACTCATCGTCGGAGCTAATGTTGGATCCACTGAGATTTCCTGCTTGATGTTGCTGCTGTTGTTGTTGATGGTGCTGATGATGTTGCTGTTGGTGTTGATGTTCTTTGTGTTGCTCCTTTTGCTGTTCCACCTGTGTTATAATGGTTGTGGTGTTGACATTAGTTGCGGCGCAGGAACTGGCCGCCAGCTCCTCAATGCTATGCAGCGATCTTCGATTGACTGTACATGCTGATGTTGCTGCTGCTGCCGTTGTTGTTGTTGTTGTTGTTGTGTCGGCCAATCCATTGCTGCCTGCGACTATCGCATCTCTATTGTTATTGTTCGGAACCACCTCAAAGTCTAACAGCTGTGCTGTTGTGGAGTTTAAAAATCCAGATGTGCTCACAACCGGCGTTGAGACTGCTCCGTTCTTCAATGGCTTTAGCTGATGATACTCCACTGAGTTTGACTTTTGGAGTAGCAGTGGGTCAATGCTATTGAGCGTTTCGATGCTAGCCGTAAGCTGGTTGTTGTTGTTATTATTATTATTGTTGCTATTATTATTACTATTGTTGGTATTATTATTGTTGTTATTATTATTGCGGTTGTTGAACAGTATATTGGCAAATGATGACATTGTGACTGATTCTAATATGACTGGCCCACTGTTACCGCCAGATGGCGCTGACAATTTAACATCGACGTGGTTGTTGTTGTTGGTGCTGTGCGGATTGGGACTGGGAAATATGCGATCGCATAGTCCTCCCAAAGAGACAGCAACATCCAATTGGTTGCCGTCGATGGCGTGCAATGAGCTAAAGTTTTCCACCGGCGGATTGGAATCAGAATTGGACTGAGTGTTCTTCTGCAGCTGCGTATAGTTGATAAAGGGCAAAAAAGTGCTGCCAGCGGCTAACATTTGATCCTTGTGATGATGAGGAAGTAATTGTTGCTGTTGTTGCAGATGCTGGTGATGTTGGTTGTTGCTATCGTTATTGCCGCTGGCTGCATTGTTAACGAAACTGCTGGTGCTGCTCTCGGCCAGCAAAGGTACATTAAAATTTTCCATAGTAATACGTTGCTATTGTGATGTCCTTTTACTTCTTTTTGTTTTCTTTTTACTTAAAGTTTTAGTGATGTTTTAATTGTTGGCAGTTGGCAGTTGCATTCAAACTGAAAAAATCAAAGAATTACATGATTAGCAGATACGTATAAAAAAAGGAAAATATAGGTGATAGGTAAAAAATACTGGACTCGGGCTAAAGTCTTAATATGAAATTCTGAGTAGGCTAAAATGGAATTTAGGTCAAGGTAAACTTTTAAGACTTTTGCCGAATATTTAGCCCAAAAAGCTCTGGTGTTATATTGCAACGAAATTGGAAAATAAGATAGAATTATGCTATTAAATAAACTATAGTATATAAGTATACAGATCATATTTGACACATTTATGATTTCTTTTTAGTTTTAATGTGCAAATATTAATAACTTAGGATTAGGAAAGTCTCTTATTCTCCTTTAACTTTAGACAAGTTTCCTGCTTTTCATTATTATTGTAAGCGATATAAACGAATTGTACAACTTATTAAAGTGTGTAAGATGCCTTTTAAATTAATCCAATTATAACTTTAACTCCCAGTTTCGTATTCCTCAATATAGCAATTTTTGCAACAAAAAACAATTACAAATAACGAATTCCTCACAAATCTGCAGTTCGTTCTATTTTGCTAGGTTCCGGGCAATTCCAATTGTTGAGAAGCTCTACTAGCTACTTTGCACAGATTTGCTGGATTGGAAGTCATTTCTGATAAAGCTCACCCCAACTAGAAACTCGGAAAATCGTTTACTATCTACAGCATAAGACTATTTTCGGTCGTAACGCTGCTCGCTTCAGATTCGATTTTAAGCGCCTCTCGTGGGCGATATGTAGAGATTATTAATAAAAACTTAGCAATTTATAGAACAAGGGTAGATAAATTCCGAATTTTAAGTATCTGAATTCAATTCCGCAGGAATGACTTTTGTTCATATGGACAGACGGACGGGCATTACATAAAACCTATATACTTTTTCATTTCCTGAATGAGTATAGATATCTGGGACATTTCCTAATAGTGGGAAAGGGAGTATAAAGGGGCTTGCCACAGTATAAAAAGATTAACTACAAACCTTCCTTCCATGCTCAAAAAATATGCTGCTTTTTGTGACGTCGGCAGCAACTTACTGCTGCAGCGCATGCGCCGCTACATCAACTGCAATCACAACAAAAACGCTGATACTGCTGTAGCGTCTTTTGGGGCGCACAGTTTACTGTGTTTTTTTTTGTCGTTCTTAAAACCAGTTGGGACCGAAAGCAAAAGTGCTATTATTGCTGTTGTTGTTATCGTCCCGTTCACCTTCTCTATTTGTTTGTACACTTCACACGGTTATTCGCACAAAGAAGAACTATCGTGATTCATGCTGCCCCTGTAGCTCTGCTCCCGCTACGATCAGCACTGATGCAGTTTCCGCCTGCGCCAGCAGCAGCTGCGAAATCGTCGTCGAGAGCTTTTTCAGCATATTTTTACTTTTTATTTTTTGCGGCACTCACGAACACTGTTGCGCTCACTCTTATTTTATTATTTTTGTTGTTGTTGTCGTCGCTACTATATGTTCTTATTATTTGCGCTGCGCCAATTCTGTTGCTTTTTTCGTTTTCGCTTTGCCTATTCGTTATTCGCTCTTAGTGTTGTCTTTCGCGTATGGAATTTGTTTTTGCATGGGACGACGGTGGCATCGGCGTTTGCTGCTTCCTTCTATGTATGTATGTATATATAAAAACAGCAAATTTATTGCAATTATGCCGAGCCAGACGACGAAAACTTCTTGTACGACGAGAGCGAAGCGAAGAGAAAGACGAGCACGCGCAACAAGCGAAAAGCTCTTCCTACAAAAATAACAAATTGCAATTCCCACATGAGAACAACGCGCACTTATGTATTCACTTATACACACATAATTACAAGCATTTACGTTCTGTTGTTGTTGCGGCTGGCTGGAGGGGGCGCTCCAATTTTGTTGTTTTAGCTGCTCTGCTCCAATTCTATGACTAAACAAAATATTTATGTACATCCATACATGTAGTACATAAATGTGTGCATATGTATGAACATGTGATAATTTTACAAAACTTGCACTATCGTTATTAAAACTAGCTTCAGCTGCTGCTGCTAGTCATGCATATTAATACACATTTTCATCTTGCGTTTCAGTTTTTGTGCCTTTTGTTGTAATTGCTGTTCTAGAAATTTGTTATGCTCGCACCATTTTTATCTTTACTTTCCCTGCCGCCGACACACGCCACGATGCTTCAATTTCGATGCTTTTACTTTCTATCTATTTGTTTATTTCGATTTTTTCGGGAAAACTATGCACAGCACACAACACACGCAAGAATTAGGTCTGTAGGCCAACACAAACGGGAACACAGTAAGAGTGGCGAAGTTGTTGGTGTAGGTAGAAGAAGAGAAAAGCACACACGCATACACACAGCAGACACATACACTACCATAAGCGTTCACAGAGATAGACAGATCAAGAGCGGAGCGGGGCCAAGGACGTGTAAAAGGCAGCAAGCACCAGCGACAACGCAAAAATTATTCTTGGCCTTTAAACGTGCATTTGAAGAACAAGGACGGCAATCATATGGCGAGCAGCGACAGAAGCTTTGAGCTTAAAGCTTTTGTATATCAAAGCAACTGTGTATGCGCACTCAATAGCTTTGTAAATACGCCAGCTAGCGGAATAAAGTGAAGCTACGAAGCGCCACCTATTATGGGTAAAGATGATATCACCTTTTCAAGCCGAAATTCACGAATTAGATTTTTAGTTTTAATTTCTTTTTACACAATATAAAAAATTTTGACCACCAGGAAGAGAAAATATGTATTCAAATGTTTATAAATGTTTGTCATTATGAATTTCTTTTCAAATAATTGTTCATTATAATTAAAACAGATTCTTTTAAACTTAAGCACCCAAATCCACATTATTTTGCAATTTCTGTATTATAGAACAAGCATTTATATTATATGTAAAGGCGGGAAAACTACTTAGCAATAACTTCAAAAGATTCGATTCACAGTCTTCAAAACACGAACATTTTTAGATTTTATTGATAGGAAAATAGTTTGCATTTCCGTTTTTATTTGTTATTACAAATTACATTTCTTTATATAAATATAATCATTGAACTTGCTTGTTTCTTATTTACAATATAACACACCTATTATAATATATACATAAATTATTATATTAAATATGGATGTTAAGTTTTATATATAAATTGCTAAAAAGTGTTCTTTAAGTTAAACATTATCTTATTATTAATTTAATATTACATCAAAAAGTTATAATTCTATATGCAAAATTGATAGTTTAAATAACATATTTATTAACTTATGCACACTGGAGTGTTTAATCATACATCATTTTCTTGTTATATGTAATAATTTCATTTCAAAATACATAATACATAAATACACATTTGTAGCATTATTTATATATATTACTTTCTATTTTCATTAAATATGATCTACATTTTACTCTTTGTTTCAATTAAAAACCATAGATTTAATTACTCAATTAGGCCTATTACATATCGATTAGCTGATTTCTTGATTTATCGGATGCTCCCTGCGCCTACCAAAATTTGGTATCAATCGCCGATTTGCGTTGCTCTTTCTTTGTCTGTGTGCTTCCTTTATATTAATTTTTTATTGAATGTGTGGGTATAGCACCTTTGTATCACTTTGCACTTAGCTTTAATTGTTTTGTAGAAGACTGTCTTCCAAAGACGAAGTAAAACTGACACTTAAATTAGCTTATCTTTACATATGTATATAAACTCTATACTAATAGTATTATATATATATATATATATATATATATATATATATATATATATAGTAAGTGTATATTATCTAGTGCCTTAAAATTCACGACATAGTCGTTCTAAAATTTCATTAAAATTGTTTTAACTCCCAACAAATTTTTAACGCTCTCGTTGTATCTGATTAGCACAACCTTTGAGGAGCTAAACATATTTAGCTTCTCACCGGCGCACAGGAGCTGCAAGCACGTCGCCTGCTCCAGAAAGTCGTCAATTTTGAACTCTCTCAACAGTTGCTTCTGGTTACTAGCCAGGCTGTTGCCATTTGGACAGATCTATTTAAAACAGGCAGATAATCAACAATATAATCTATTTTAATAATTCAGTTTATTCAGTACTTTTACCTTATTAAGCAGCGTATCCTTCGACTTAACCTTAAGTAAATTGCACAAATCATTAAGGAGTACCCATTTATCACTGCCCTCATCTTTGAGTAAGTACAGTGGCGGCAAGGGCACATCGGATTCTTCGAATTTAAAAATATCACCGTTCAATTCGTCCGCCAATGTCTCTCCGTCGTCGTCGTCGTCACCATCGTCTTCATGATCATGATCAACTTGATCGTTGCGATCATCAACTATCTCATTATCTTTCACATTAATATTTATATTCAAATTCTCGTCATCTTGTGGTTCCTGTTTAACCTCATTCTTGCCGTTCACAACGCTCGTTACATTTTGCTCAACATTAATATCATTCTTTTTGCTATTATTATTGTTGTTGTATGTATCCTCTAAGCCCGCACCAGGCTCTATTTTCACTATTGCTGTTGTTGCTTCTGTTTTTGTTACTGTTGTTGTTGTTGTCGTTAATGTTATTATTGTTTTTATTGCAGTCTTTGCATTTATCTCCCCATTATGTTTAATTGTTTCTTTGCTCTCTGCTTTTTCGCGCAATAGGCCATTTATATTGCTGCTTTTGCTGTTGGTATTAGGCTTTGCTGGATTGCCCTTGTCGCCATGGCTGCGTTTCTGTTTACATCTTCCTCTAGGTTGAGCTCTGCTCATATCACATGCTGTATTCGGTACATTATCGAATATATTAAAACCATTTTCCTTTTCATCTAGAATTACGTAACAAATGATAAATTAATTCAACACATTCAATATCTATGTGTGTACAAATTATTACCAAATATCTCCCAGGGGCCACGAAATCGCATCGGGCTTATATTAGCAGCCGCACTTTGTGCATCGCTGAGGTGATTGCTCAAAATGCCACACATCAATTTGCTTGAAGCTAACATGAGTGGGGTTTGACCTTTTAAATAAAAGAATCATTTTTGGATTACATGGTATCTTCCAATAAACAATAACAATATTTAAATAAAAAATTATTCATCTGAATGTGATCAACTATCTGTATTAATCAAATAAATGTATGTAATCTCTAAATTAATAATTTATAACTATCACAAAAAAGGATGATAAGCAAGTTGTAAATATTGAATTAAGACGGAACAATGGATATACATATTTGCTCAATTAAAATGAATGAAAAGGAAAAAATAAGTTGAAAATAATGCTGATTTTTACACAGAAATTAAAATTTTACATATTAGAAAAATTATCGTTTTGTAAAAGCAAACATAATAAATTACTTTGTAGTAAAAAACAGATACATAATAATTTATATTGCTTAATTTTTCCAGTTACCTGAGTACGTTGCCAGCAACGGATCAGCGCCATAGGACAATAACAATCGGACCACCTCCTCATGGTCATTCTCTATAGCTCCATGCAGAGGTCGAATGCCTGACTGGGCGGCTTCCGAGTGATTGGCACCGAATTGCAACAGAATCCTAGCTATTTCTAACCAGCCTTGGGTACAGGCCTCATGTAGCGGCGTATAGCCAGCATTATCTTTCTGATCCGGATTCATGCCCATCCGATCCAGGCAATAGACAACCACATCGATTAATCCCTGACGAGCCGCTTTATGCATTGTGCTCTGACCAACTCCCTTGTTAAGCACCCACTTCTGTATCTCACGGTACACGTCCATTTCGGTCTTGATCGTCATTGGCAAATGCGATGAGCTGCCCGCAATGGTACTGTCGGTATCGTCAAGACGTTCATCAGCTGTGGTCGCAGCAAGAGCTATGTCTGCTGCCGCCATTTTGGCTGCTGGGGCTGCTGCAGCGTTGGTAACGATGTTGGTTGACGTATGTTCACCGGCAACGGTATTGATTGTGCTCGTGCTGGTACTCTGATGGTGATGTGTTGGTCGCTTTTTTTTGCGTATATAGTCAAACCCAGAGCTGCCCTTACGACGCAAATACTTCCGCTTATAGGGTACGGGTCGGCTGGGCAAATCAGTTTCTGCGTTTTGCTTGGCTTCGCCGCAAATTCTGTGGCGTGAAAGTTTGTTATTATTGGCACTAACAATGCGATTCATTTGGTCTAGAAAGTCCTCATACTGTTGATAACTCAATGAGCTTTCCTCGCCGGGCTGATCCTGCTGTGCACACTCTGGCGGTGCTGAGGCCGGTCTCTCCGTGCCTACAAAGATCTCGCGTATAATCTCGCGTCGCTGCTGCAATTTGGACTCAGTGCGTGTCTTACTCTGCAGCACCTTTGTATCAAATATACTAAAGTGACGCTTGCCCAGGGTGTCCTCCACAATGTGCTCCGTCGTCTCCTGCAACTGCTCACACAAAGAATTCGAGGCGGAGGTCTGTGAAGTTTCGCTATAATTATGCAGGCTTCTAGCGCAGCTTATCACATTCTGTTGATTGCTTTTGCTGTTGCTCTGCTGTTGCTGACTGCCGTTGCTGGTAACGCGAAGATGTAGTACATCGATAAAGGATTTAGGTGTCGCCTTCTGCTGTTGCTGCGACTGCTGCTGTAGCAGTTTAGATCGCGATTTGCGGCCCCGACTGGGCTGAACGGAATTCATATCCTGAGTGAGATAGCGCCCACGCTCTAGATCCGGTAAGGATGAAGCTACTTGGGGCAACTTGTTCAGCTTGTTTATGGAGATCAAGCGTTGTGGTATCTTAAGCGCCAACTTATAACGATATTCCTCCAGAAATAGCTGTTGCTGTGGTGTATTTGTTTGTTTGATATTGTTGCTTGTCAGGCGGTCGGATTTGTGATTACTGCTCTTGAGCTTACGTCCCGACAATTGGCCCCGATCGACAGCTGCATCCCGTTTGTTTCGCAATCGTGTTATCATAATTTCTTTCTTAGCATCTGGCACCAATTTACGTACATATTTCCGCTTAATCTTTGTCGTCGAATTTCGTATGATTTTATCATTGCGCAGCACTTTGCTGTTGGCCAGCTGGAGTTCGAGCTCCTTTTTTCTCTTGGATCGTGTCATGGTGTTAAGTGCTATGCGATTCTTTAAAGATGTTTTTGCTTTGCGCTTACTTTGATTGCTAACGCTATCATCCTCAATATTCGCATTCTCTTCTTCGTCGCCAATCTCTTCATCTTCCTCATCCTGCTGTTCTTCATCGTCACTGTTGCTACTTTTATCGCCGCCATCCTCATCTGGGTTTTGTTTCTGTTCTATCACTCTCTCTTGTTGCTTTTCGACATTTTTCTTTTTGCATTTGCCACTTGTGTACTGCGTCATATTTTCATTAGAAGATACCTTGTTTTTCTCCAAATTCATCGAGTTATTTACCTCGCTGGAGCTATTGTTACCCTTCTCTTGCTCTTGTTCCTCATCACTGCTTGGCTGCTCGCGGTGTTTCAGTTGCATCTCCTTTTCATCTACTCGTCGTGCCTTACTCTTGCGCATAAGTGGTTTCTTTTGCCTGGCCGTCTTACGCTTATGTAATTCGGTGGTGTCGCTCTCGGAGCTGCTACTCTGACCAGCTTTGGGTGCCAAGCGTGCCGCTATACGCTGCTCCTGCATCATTCGCTTCTTTTCGCGCTCCGTCTTGCTTAGTTTCTTTTGAGCGGCGCCGAACGCGATGCTATTTGCGGTCGTTGTGTTGGTCAGTTGGGTGGTAGTTGTTGCCGCCGATTCGACATCCCCTGCTATCGGTTGTCTCTTAAGTATCCGCGCTACTGGTAGATCATCCTCGCTAAGCTCTAGCTTGATCCGGCTGGCTGGAGCAATGCTTTCGTTGCCTGATATTGTTTTGGGAGGCATCGTTTTGCTTTGCAGCTGTTTTACTAGGTTGTTGCATGTACTGTCCCAGTCAAAGAGACTATTGCTGTTGAAGCTCGGCTCATCGCCTTTCTCTACATCTTCCACATCAACCTCCGGTGGGGGCACTGGCTCCAATTTGATTTGTATGTGATTGGTCAGATTACTGGGTTGCAGTACAGGTGTGATAGTACTTGCTGCAATACTGTTAATGGAATCAATGCCAGTTTCCTTTATGACATCTATTGTTGATGCTGTTGTTGTGGTTGAGTTAGCAACTGCCAGAACTGGAGGCGTAAACGTGAATCCTTTAAGCTCCGCCTTAGTCCGTATACGTGGTTCCGTTTTTGTCACCACTAACTGTTCTTGTTTAGGCTGTGAACAAACAACAGATTGTTCTAGCCGCTTTGCCACTTGGTTATTGGTAGCTATAACAGGAACTGAAGTGGCGACAATGCCTTTCGACTGAGTTATTTCCAAACGCGTCTGTTTGGCTGCTGCTTCAACTGCTGCAGCCGCCGCCGCTGCTGTTTCTTGATTGTACTCCTGAAGATGCCGCTTACGGCCCAAATAGTTCGGGTTGCTGCTGTTGTGGACACTAGTTGTGATCGTACTTACGCTTGTGGTACTTATGCTTGTGGTAGTTGTAGTGGGACTAGGTATTGGTTTTGGCAATGCTTTGACGCTCGTCTCAGGCGGCAGTTGAGGGCGCTTTGCATATGGATTTGTTTCCAATACACTGGGACGCAACTGCTGAGCCGCTTTAATGACCATCGGCGTAGCTTCAACTGGCGGCGCTATACTAGCTGACGTCTGTTGTATTACTGCCGTTGGTGATGCAGCTGATGAACTCGATGCTATGTTGGTACGCGCAAAATTTGGTGTTATATCGAAACGGGGTAAACCTGTGCCTGTGCCCCTGTCAATTGAATCTGTAGGCATCCGGTGATATTTATATTCTGTGGAGTCGGCGGTTTGCTTGATCGTGCGCATAGACAAATCCAAAGGTGAGTAGGCAGCAGGAGCAGTGGGCAACAAGAGTGGCTGAGACGGTGGTTGTGGGTTTAGATGTGCTTGCGGTTGTTGTATAACCGGAGCCGATATTGAAGGAACTGTAATTGTGACTGGCGACTGCAGGGTATTGGCGGGTACCTTAGGTGACCGACTTCCTGGCGTTTCCATATTGAGCGTTTTTTTGATAATTTGCAGATTGAGCTCCTCCTCACTGGCCGTGTTGCGCTTCAACATATCATTGATTAGCGCCCGATAGTCGAGCTTAGCAGAGGGTGGAGCTTTCTTTGGACCGGAGGGCAGTGACAGCGCTGATTTTGAAGCTATCGACGGCTGACAGCATATGTCAGGGCCATGTGGATACACTTGAAGCGTAGAGTAATTCGAAGCGGATGGATTTATGCTGCCTGTTGGAGGCGGCGTATGATTATACAACTGTTGGGCTGGCAAGGGCGAAGCTACTTGAGCAGCTGCTGGGGACGGTGTTCCATGATTATAATATCCGGCATAGTTGTTTATGGAGGTGAAGGAGCTGCGCCTCTGCTCAGCGGCGATTGCCGTCGCTGTCGTTGTTGGTGTTCCATGCTGGGACAAAAGTTTGCCATACTTGGTGGGATGGGCAAGTGTCGACGCTGGCGAACTATCGCGCGAACTGGCCGCGATAGCAACGGGCGGTGGCTGCTCCTTCTCTTTGAAGGGACTTGGTGGTGGGGCTGTAGCTAGATTGTAAGGATTATGATAAAGTGAAGCACGGGCCAGCGCTGGTGACTCCGGCTCCAATTTGGCACATGCGCCGCTGCTCCCGCTACTGTTGTTTGCTCCAACGGTTGATAGACCATAGTTGATGGTTGATGGACGTGTAAATGTAGCGTTTCTGCGTCGATAGTCCAAATTGGGCGCCGGCGCAGTCTCTCGCACATACTTCTCAATGGCATTATGTACGGTATTTTGAAAGTTCGACGGCATGTAGAGACTGTGGTGTTGCTGTTGGGAAGTCTGTGGAGGAGTTACTTTGTGATTAGCGCTACGCTGCTCTGTTGGCGGCTCATAATGCTGTGGACATTTGCGCGCATAATTTGGACTGGGCTGCTGATCGCTTGTGCCGAGCAACGCATTACTGGGATTTACCACGTGTTCCAAAAGCTCATAATGAGCGGCAGGTGCAGGTGCTGGTCCAGGTACTGGTGCATAGCTAACGATCTTAGCGCCCGTTCCCACAGTAGAGTATTTACTGCTGTCTTCGTAGTATCGAAAACTGTGTTCACCCCCATTTCCGCTTACAGTGCTGCTGCTGCAGGTGATTGCACTTGCTCGTGTCGCCGTGTGTGATTTGCCATAGCCGAAGCGCGATTGGTGATGTACTGAATTCGACTGCTGCTGTTGTTCATCCTGCAGCCAGTAGGCATTATATATGGCGCTACTGTGGTGCCGTTGCACAGGAGCTACTCCGGTTGCTCCGGCCGTTTTATACTGCCAACCGGGATAAGACGTAGTTTCCGTTGACCTCTTGCTGACTGTCAATTCTCGGTTAGAGGTATAGTATTGTAAATGAGGATCGTCGCCAGATGCAGTAGCAGCAACACCTGTTGGCGGCATCACCGATGATGCTGCAGCTGCCCCACCACCTGAATTGCTACCAGTCCCACCACCTCCAGCACTACTACGTGCACTCATAACATAGACAGTGGATCGAGAACGTTCCGAATCCGCTGGCTGGGTGTTATGATAATTGATTGTACTCGGGTAGATGGAGCTGCTACCACCCAATTGATAATGCGGATGTGGTGGCAGGTGTGGCTGTGGCGGCTCTTGTTGTTGTTGCTGTGGTGTTGCTGCAGGTGGTTGTTGCTGGTGTTGTTGGTGGTGCTGATGGTGGTTGGAGGGTATGTGGTTATGCACTACATGCTGTGAATAACCAGTTACATGTGGATGTTGTTGTGGGTGGTGGGCCTGGGGCTGATGCTGATGGGTCTGATATTCGTTATGTCTGATTGGGTCCATTGTAGCTGAAATGGAGAGCAATGTAATATATATTATATAAAGTAACTGTCTGCAATAGAATATATTTTTATAATTATAAATAATAAAATAATTAAAATCGTTATTAAATAATTATAAAATACATGTTAATGTCTCATATGCTTATGTAGAAGGCAAAGATATTGCAGACAATTTATATCCTTCGACTAGATAATAATAACAGTAAATAAGATATAGTTCCATATTCCTGGAAGTGAAACTCCTGAATAAGATGCCCTACCTTCAATCTCGGTAATTCTAGATGTAAATTTTAATTGATGGAAGATTGGTCGTCCCACCTGGCTAAGAACGCCGCCAATACCAACTCCGCCACAACCCCGATTGTGAAAAAGTTTCGATTCTTCGAATAGAAAAGAATGCACACATTTGAAAATGGGAATAGTTATCGAATATTTGAAGCTACAGACGCACCTACACAAAAAGTCGAATCTTTAGGTCTTATAGAAGCTGAGATCGACACGTTCACACAAACGGACAGGACTCAATCGACTCGGCTTGTAGTCCTGATCAAAGATATATACACTTTATGAGGTCTGCCACGCCTCCTTCTGATTTCCCAGGGTATAAGAAAACTCAACAACTCCGCGCGAATCTTTTATTAAAATTTCAAATAGAATATGAACATCTGCTAGAACTAACTTTCCCTTAAAATAATCTAAAATTTAAGGAAAATACCAATTGTATTAAATGTACAATGCAAAATTAAAACACTCTAGTCCCAAGGAATTACGATATATAATTTAATACCTGAAGTTAATTAACATTTTTCAAAGATTACGTAGAAAGAAACTTCTTTACAAAAACAGACTTTTAAACTTTTAAGACCGCGAATGAGTCTTTTACAGTCGGCATCGCCCTACTGCAACATTCTTACTTCTTTGTGCTGGGTTACTGAAAATAAACAAACAATTGATAATCAAATAAAAGCCAAACGAAATGCAAAAGAAAGCAAACTTCGTCAAAAACGCAGCCGACGTAGTTGACGAAGAACTGCGGCAGTTGCCGACTGTCTGTCGATTGTAGAGGTCAAGGCCTAAAATACATATGCACACACATAGAGCAAAATTTATGCACCTATCAGTGTGTGTGTACATGCGACAGTGCTGTGTGCTCACTTTGCCGTTAGCAAAAATGTAAATAAATTGTGACGCATTTTTGTTGTCGTTGTTATTGCAAGTAATATAAATAAGTATGTGCATGAATATTTGTGTATGTATGTGCACAGATGGAAAAAGCGATGTGCGAACGAAGCGGAATCAACTAAAACGAAACACAATACTAATAAGAGCGCAACGAACCTTTGCGAAATGTGAATTATAAAATAAAAAGCAACAACAAGAAAGAGAAGTATAACTGAAGTTTATTAAAAATACTTGATTAATTATATAAGAAACAAGAAACTGAAGGAGAAAACAAAAATATTATTGTTTAAATTTCAGTTAATACAATCGTGTATATCCAAATACATATGTTGTGCAAACCTATATTAATCCTCTACAATATATACATATATTAATCCTACTATGCTTGATTAGCTTGTGTTATTATTAGTTGATAATATAATTCAAGGAATATAAGCTCTTTATCAGATGGCTAATATAAAAAAGAAACAATTGATAAAAACAACCTATTTTGTTTATAAAAAAATCAGCATTCGGTTTCTCAGGGATTGACAACTAAATCTTTTGGCTTCTTTATCGTATAGCTTCTATTTAATATTATCTGACAATATACTTAATTTTTATATAAATAAATAATGATATTTACCTTTTTGATTTACAGTTCAAAGATGTTCGAACACTCTCTGAATATATTGACGACATTCAGCATCTGTAAGTTGAGATATATTTATTTAATTCATTTGATCAACAATAAAATATTTTATGTATTTTAAATCTACATAAATGTGGGCAGTACTTTAACTATTTGAATATTAAGTGATTCAATAATATGTTCTCCATATAGATTCCGTTTCATACATACAACTCAAATACGATTTGATATATCCATGAACTGTTATATTTTTTTGTTATAAATGCTTTACTGGCAAAACTGAATCAAAAACTTGTTCAGATGCTTTCTACTTAGAATAAACTTATTAGATAGAGTTTAACATTTTTGCAGAAAGAGAAAAACAATATTCTAAATATTTAAGCTATTCAAGCCTTCTAACATATTTTTTAAGGCTTTCCTCAAATTAGAATCGTACCTGTTCCGGATAATATTTAATATGATTTCACTTTAAAAGGTTCCCATTAAGAATGAATATGCGAATAATTAGCGGTCAATTCAAATATGTATTTAGATAATGCCTAAACTGTGAATATATGTTTTATAAAATTATAGATATATATCCACTATATGCGTCTAATAAAATAAAATAAATTTATGCGCAAATTATAAGCCTGGAGGATGATTAAGTCATCAATAAAAGTCAGATATCAAAAACATCTCCTTTTAAGGGGTGAACTAAGGATTTAAATGGTAGATATATAATAAATTTAGTATCAATTCCTTAAATTACATTATTTAAGTTATTTAATAACTTCAATGAAAATTTGTCAAAATATACGTAAAACTAAACTTATAATTTGGAGACTCGCTTCAAAGACCGACGAGATATAATTTAATTCAGCTTTTTTGGTTCTAAGATCGACTCAGATCATCACCCTGATCAAGATTATATATATATTTTTTATGAGGTCAGCCTCGCCTACTCATCGTTGAGAAATTTAATAATATTGTCTGTTAGTTACCAATATTCCAAAAAATAATTACTAAATTAAATCTAAAATTGAAACATAAAGGAACAAAATGTGATAATGATTCATATACCAGTGGCCGAAATATGTGGAGTTAGTTACTTGATTAGAGAAGTTTAAAAACATTTGCATAGATTGAGCAGGTAACTAATGTTTATATGATATGAAATTGAAAAGGAGAGATGGTCATCACTTAGACATGTATAAAATATTGATATTCAAAATAATATGTAATAAATATGCATATCTTAATAAGTTTAAGATAAACATTTTCAAATGCTACTTCGACATAAGGAACAGCTAATAATTCAATCAAATTTCAATCGTAATTTCGCTTCTTCGAAAAGAAAGGAATACACGGATTTCAAAGTATGTTTGATATATTGGATATATTGGATAAATGCATAAGCTTGGCGCTGCTTGCCGCGCACTTTTTAGAAAGCTTCTTTACTTATTGGGTCTCTATCCGACTAAACTTAAATGATAAAATTTGGAGCCGGTATCCAAAATAACAAAAATTAAAATTGTAGAAAATAAACTAAATACAAAATTTTGAGGCTCCAGCTCTTAATAATCATGTTTTTCATCTATAACAATAAAACGGGAATAGTTATAGATTATTTGAAACAAGGACCTACAAAAAATTTCTCTAGGATAGGCCCTGATCAAGAATATCAATACTTTATAGAGTCTGCCACGCCTCCTTCTGTATGTTACATACATTTGCACAAAACCATTATAGCCTGATTTGTCATTTTCAATGGGATCATGATATAAAAAGAAGGCTAATATGCGTTTATAATTTTTACAATTTAACGAAAAACTTAAGAAATATTATATTGATATTCCATGAGATCTAACCTAAGAACTACCAGTGAGTTACTTTATTCTTAATTTGAAGTAAAAATAATAAAAAATTCAAGAAATTTTTGGATCAAACTTGTTTTGTCTTTGCTAACGTTCAAAAGACATTTTCAAACTTTAAACAATTGATTTACTAATAACAATCGATGAGCCATACAGGCAGATGCAATTGGTAAAATTTATACAATAGAGGATTCAAAAAGGATAACAGGCAATTCAAAGAACCTAAATCTAATACGTAAATGTAACCTACGACATTGTAGACCGGACAGTTTCATTCTAACAGTGGATGTACGGAACCGATCTAGAATGGTAGAAGCAATTTTCTTTTCCGTTAAATCGTTTATATATATAAATTCAGAAAGCAAATTTGGTTTACACATCTAAGATTGCAATCGGCAGAATAGTATTTAGGTTAAGGTTATAATATTCTTTGTCTTTGTCTTTTTTGTTTGCAGTGGATATATATTACATATATTTTTAAGTTGAATTTCGTATGTATTATAATGTATTTTATTTTTATTTTTTTATTTCAACATTAAAGTTCTAATTGTAATCTTTAAAAGAGAGAATGAAGCATTAATTATAAAATACACACAACCCGTCTATTACACTTATTGGTTGGTTCCAACGTTTACTCTTAGATTCTGGTTAGCATTTACTTATTCGTACATATTTATTTACATGGACAGGTTAAGACTGAAATTTAGTAAAAAAAAAACACAAAAGAACGTTGCAGTCGAGTGCTCTCGACTGCTTAATACTCATTCACCGTCTACCACTTTAAAGCTTTGAAGCTATGATATGTTTTTTCCGATTTACCACGCCCTCAGGAGACTAATGTATATTACATCAGTAATATATATCAGTAGATCAATAACGTAGGTCACACAGTAATTAAGTCGTTAAATTTTAAGTTTCTCATTGTAAAGCTGTAGAATATACAGATTTCCCCGATTTGCCACACCCCTCAATGACTGTTATTAATAGCGTTGCTGACATACACGATTTGCCAATCCTCTAGTAGGAGTATATTCACACTTTATCGGACGAGGATATCCACGAGTATATATTTCCAACTTCAATTCTCTAGCTTCTACAGGGGAAATGGTTTGCGTTTATACGGACAGCCAATTAAGCTTAAAACCGAAATGTTGGAAGGGTCATTACCGTTTCCCATATACTACGTTATATATATTAGAAATATATGTATGTATTTTTATACAAGAACGGCTAAGTTTGTTGCCAACTCACGATATAGCTAAACAGTTATTTAGTTCTATTGTGTTTTAAAACAAACCGGTTTAGAGATTTAACAAGGAAATAACAAAGCTAAAAACCGTTTAAGCTCTTACCAAAGAATGCTTTATAATGGTGCTTAGAGCCAAAAGCGTGTACAACATATGCTATCGTGTCACGCACAAAATGTAAGAGAATTCAATAAATGACACCGTAACAAAGGGAAAAATGGATCTTTGTGTTTTTCAAAAATTAATTATTTTTTTTTAAATTTAGATAAATGTAACTGTAAATTTAACTGATATTTACTTTTTATATAACATAAAAAGTATATATATATTATATAATACATAGATAAAGATAATAAATAAAATATAATATAAAACTCCAACCAGTGCACAGATTGAATTATGATATTAACTAACAGAATATCTATTTAAAACTTAATTTTAATTTAAGAAAACTTTAAAATGTTATTGTGATACAGGTATGAATTGATTTAAGTTCTTTTTTTGCGGTGTTGCAACGAGACACTAGCCCATCTCTAATGATAAAAGATAGAGAAAAAGAGAGAGACTGAGAGACGAGCACACATAACTTTTAGCTTAAGTATTTATCAGTGACAACGAACCGCACACAGCTGTACAACACATTTCGAAGCTATTATCAGTTCTCAGTTTTCAGCTCTCACTTTTATGGGCATCAAACAAACAAAAAAATAAACACACATACACACATCCACATAAACGGAGAGTTTAAAATCGCTGTACAAACATTGTCAGCAGATCTATTTTTGTAGCAATTGTACAGGTATTAGAACTTAGACACAAATTTATATATGTATTTTAGAAGATAGCCAATATATTATATAATATATGTTAAATTATTTATTAAACACTAATATACTTGAAACGAAAAAGTAATTGAAACCTATCCATCCAAGCCAGTTAGAGCATTTTAGAAAACAGCTTTGCTTTGCTGCGATATCTTCGCGCGTTAAACCAGGCAATTTCATAACTTTGCTAATCTGACGAGTTGAATTAAAAATTGGAATTGTAAATTGTAATTGTAAATTATAAATTGTAGGTTTGAATGTTAAATGTTAGAATTAGAATTACATTTAGATCATTACCTTATCAAGGATTGAAAAACTAAAACTAACTAAAACTAAAACTAAAAAAACCAAAACTAAAAATTAAAAAAAAAAAAAAAAACAAACCAACTCACTTTATGTATATTGAAAAGCAAGACACCAGCTTGGGGAAATCCTTGGAAATTGCGATAAATTAAAATCTGTGGTAATGCAGAGCCCGGCCTTTCTTTATGTCCTACAGCAACTCCCCCTATTTGATGTAGTCGCTGCTGCTACTCCCGCTGCTATAGTGTGTGTGGGTGGGACGTTGACATTCGGACAGTCTAACGATTTATAAAAAGATTTTTACTGTTATTTCACGTTTTCTTGTTGTTGCTGCGATTATTATTATTATTTTAGCATTACTTTTCACTTCGCTTTTTAACTATTTTCTCGCAGTTTACAGACACTACGCACATATTCATGAGTGCTTGTTCACACACAGACAGAGACAGACAGACAGACACACACACACACACACACACACACAAACATGATAATACACGTACCAATTTCTCGCACAGCAACTTTTTAGTTGTAGCTCCTCTGTTTGGTGTTGTTTCTTCCAACATTAAATTATGCATATATATACACATGCATATGCTTTGTATTTGAAAACCAGTATTATTTGCCTTCTTTCACTTATTTCTCGAAATTGTTGAATAACGGTTTTGAATCGGTATTGTGTGTTTTTGTTGTTGCTTTATTAAATTTCACTTTGCTTTCTCGTGATGCTATGTTAGTTTTTGTAGTTATTGTTGCACACATAGTTGTTACACACACGCACTCTCTGTGCGAAAGATAAAGTAAATTAATTTATTTTATTAACTTAGTATCTTTATGCGCAATTTTAGTCCTGATAAACCAGTCCTGCAACGTCAGCGTTGCCGAACGTCCTCTGCGTTCATCTCTTCATATATTATATTTTTTTCACTTGTGCATAACTATTAAGAATTGTATTTTTATACAATTGTATTTTATGCACAGAAAGACAAAGATGTAGATAAATAAACAAACTTATTATTTTTTTGATTGTTCTTGATATTTATTATTTATCAGGCAATCAGCAAGACAGCAACAAAATCACAACACCTTCATAAGCTGAATGCATTTCTATATTAGAATTGACGAAGCAAATATTCCAAAAGGTTTTTTTCATTGCCACTCATACACCTACGCATACATATATGCAACGATACAAAAGAAATACAGGCATTGGTTATAAGTTTCCTTCATCCCGTTATAAAGTGGAGTTGACGTCGGCGCCACTTTGTAGGGGGCAATGATATTTCTTTGGTAGAGAACATAATTTCTATTCTTTAAGCTCGCCCGCAGACGAGTTCTGCAAATGAAACAAAGACAATTTCACTTGTCTTGACGAAATACATACATATATACATATATATATATATATATATATATATATTATATTATATTATATATATCTATATACATTGTGCAAATACATATATATTTTACGACGTGGGCTTGAATGTCAAAATCCAAATTTTTTAAGACATTTCATTTAAATCATTTGCACGCAAACCGGCACACACACTCATATGTACACAAGCACAAATAGGCTGACACAATTACAAAATTGTCGGTCGCTGAGTTTTCTACTTTTTTGATACTTCTTTTTTGTATTTTACACACACACACTCGCTCGCAGTTTTATTATAATACACACACACAAATACACATACACGCACACACACACACGCCGTTGTCGTTGTGTTGTTGCTCTGTTGCTTGCTTTGCTGTTTTTTGTTGTTGTTGGCCTACTTTGTGTGTGGGGAATTTTGTTGTAGCTTTGTTGTTGCTCAGCTTCTCCTTTTGCAGCAAAGAAACGTAGAGGAGAGACAGACTGAGACTGATTTTGCTGCTACGTCGTTGTTGAAAATTTTCACACGCGCCGTTTTTTATGAGTATTTTTACGTAAAAAGAAACTTTACGAAAGTGCCATTGAATTTCGATTGCACTTGCACTTAAATTTGATGCTTATAATTTATGCTACTCTGCTGTACTATATTTTGTATATGTACATTAAAATATATATAATCGCTTATGCTGCATATACTAAGTATATATTTGAGATTTTTATAAAAAGAAATCACTACTACTTCAAAAATCGAGAGAGACGAAGGCTAACGAACGTTCGAAGAATGAATGACTGAGAAAGTGACTAAAAATTATGGCGGGGCTGCCAACCTTCGCATTAAATCGAAGCTGCCAACTTATGAAAATACAATAAAGTAAAGAAAATCATCGGAAAAAAATCGATTTATATTTATAGTATATCGGTTAGCCACCATAAAAATTAACATGAATTTAAATAACATTTCTGTTAGTTTCTGTATTGTGTTTTAAGACACAGGTATTTAAATAAAATACTTCATTTTCATTGTATAAATAATTATACCTCCAGAAGATATCAGAAATTAATTTTTAAATTGATGCACGTTTTAAACAGTAAAAATAAACAGTAAACATACTTTTAAGATTTTCATGGTAAAGTCATACGGCCACACAGAAAACTGTAAATGACAAACCGCCTATAAAAGCAATGGACACTGAGTTCTACGTGTTTTAGTTAACAAAATTAGGTGCACATCAGAATCAACGCGAAAGACTTTTAAGTGTTTAAAGTATACTCTAAATTTTTGGTAATTGAAAGTAAATAAATAGGGCACTAAAAATGGCTACCCGTGATGCTGCTTCAAATCAATTGATTGATTATAAGAACTGTCAAAAGGTAACTTAGTAACTTAAAACGGCTGAAAAAATAAACACTATAAGAAAATGAGTATTAATGAATCTTCAATTGTTTACTACATTTTGCGTTGTACTGCAAATTTTGCAGTAGATAATTCTGGCAGAGCCAAAGTTCAAATATATGCATTGTTGTTATCTTATTTGTACACAGTGCTATTCTGCTCTCCCTTTCTCGTATCTCTGGTCTATCTCTTTCTCTCATGAAAACAAATTGCATGTTCAGAAGATTATGGGGCTATTTTTTGTTTTCTTTTTGTTACATTAACTTAATGGGTTTTAACAATCAGAAATTATTTGTAAATATTACATACGTTTACATTTTTAATTGAGTATCTTTTGTTTTATATTTTAGTTTTTTCTCACATTTCGTTTGGCAGTTTAGAGTTTAAATCATCTTAAAAAATAAACATGCATCTAAATAACTATGCCAGCAATTCAGTGTTCAACTAGTAACAATTCTTCATTATTTATAAATCCATAATTAATCTTATCGTTTGTTCTTTGATAACGCTAATCAGCAGCTATATATATATACATATATGTGTATATGTGTGTGTATAGTTTCATAGTTCCAATTGTACCTAATCCAAAGGCCGAGGAGAGTGATTTTTTCGAATTGTCAAAATTTACTAAGTTACTAAAATTCTATATGATATAGATATAACATATAAATATGTTATACTAGATGTATATATACATATATATATATTCTCTAGTTAATCTTAAATTTATATATATATATATATATATATATATATATATATATATATATCCCCCTTCATTGGAAATAGATAAATTAATAATATAAATAATCGATAGATCGTCGGAAATATTCCAAACTAATTTATTGGAAGTACTTTGGCATATAATAACTCTAAAGGCCCCATCGTGGTATTCAATCAGCAATTTAGATTTGGATCGATATATGTATATATATGTAGATATATATATATATATATATATATATATAATTAGTCGAGCGGAAATGCAATTATTTAATTGCATTGAAACCGTGGTATTTTCTATTTGAACCTTGAATGCGATTGACTTCACATTGGAATACAAATTATTTTTTTAGCCACATTAATGCACATTTTAAAGCTAACTTTCGAACCGGGGCCTTTGAGCAGTTGCAGCCAGTAAACAGTTTTTTTTTTGATTATGTTATTGCACTTCGAAGTTGTGAAAAACTGGTTGCAAGCAAAGGAGAGAGCGGGAGATAAAGAGCAGATACGCTGATAGAGGCGTTGAACCCCAGCAAACTAGTTCGATAAAAACTAGACGAGTTATAGGTCTGCCTTATAGCGATTGCGAATAATCGAAAAGCAAACAATTAGCTGCAGCATTTGGTTATGCAATCCATTTGGCACTTGGCTTCCACCACATATGTGAGAATATGTTTTGAAATTTCGCATTGAAAGCTTTTGACCCAGAAAAGTGTTCGTGTTGCTGTTGCTTTTGACTGACCTTTTATGGAAACTAACGAGAAACTGCATTTTGTCAGGCATTATTTGAATACGACTGTTTATACAAACACTGAAACAAACACCTCTGACTTCTTTGTTTACAGGAATCTCCGAAATAGCTTTATAGAAATATTTAGAAATGTATATTGAATTATATGCAATATTTCTAAGCATTCTTAAACTTATTTCACATATTATTTTCAAAATGATTTTCAGTACATTCCTTAAGAGACTTCTTCCACAATCTATTCCGACTGAAACATCTTCTGTACATATATGTTTATCGATAGAACCTGTAAATGCTAGATTAACTTGTTTTTCGGTTTCGTTTTTCATTTTTAAACATACAACTGGCAATCAAAAGATTCCGACGCTTTGCATTTTTGTACTATCGATCGATGGTCTTATCATCAATTTGCTCTTTAGACATTCACCCACTTCGCCCTCCTATTGTTGGCTTTTTATTATCTTTCAAACAGCGGGTCTTCCATTTGGCCCCCCATTAATTTATTTCTAACTCAAAGTGCAAACAGTTGCGATTGCAAATCAGAAAAAAACAAATTCTATTTAACACTATGGCATATATCCTATATATGGAACACGCTACATTCCAGCGAATGAGCAGCTGCCTCAACAGCGTAACTAATAGAAGAAGTTATCCCAGAGTCCCAAACTATATATATAATTTGATAAGGATTAAACATCTTGTCATTGGCCTGCTTGTGATCTCTTCTAACTTTATTTCGAATACTTTCCAAAACTTTGTATTGTATTGAGTCTACTAGTTGGTCGCTTCAGGAGAGTGAACCTTCTCACTAGCTTAGCTGAATTTCATCACTTAAGTCATTTTCATTATTAGTCAGGGCTGTATCTTTGAGATAGCATTAGTAAACAGATGGTGTATGCATCTCTTCTGCGTGTGGAATTACTGATAAGCTATTCCGGGGAGCGGCAACAGCTGCACCCAGGCGCACAACAAAGAATCTTACATTTACGATTGGAGAGTGTTTAAGTTTATTATAATCTTTTGCTAATATATTCCTATATACGTATGTAGTATGTCTATCTATATGCGTTGCACAATTGCTTCGCTAGCCCGACCTCCCATTAAGTGTGATGTGTAAGTACTACGAAAGTATATCTATTTCTGTGTTTGTTTCGAGCTTAAGGTACAGTTTAGATAAAATGGAGATAGCTAATACTAAAAACCAGCTTATAAACCGAGAGAGAATATAGTTATTTACATATTTTATAAAATTGGAATCTGAAACCTTTTTATCTATATTTATCTTCTTTACTGGATTAAAAATGTTGGTTTCTCTTTGTAGGATTCGGCAGGTGTCGTTACTACTGGTAGTGGCGCGCCCATTGGAATTAAGGATGCTTCGCAAACGGTGGGTCCTCGCGGTCCGATTCTGCTGCAGGATGTCAACTTCTTAGACGAAATGGCTCATTTTGATCGTGAGCGCATTCCGGAGCGTGTAGTTCATGCCAAGGGTGGCGGTGCGTTTGGTTACTTTGAAGTTACTCACGATATCAGCAAATATTGCGCTGCCAAGGTGTTTGAGAAGGTCAAGAAGCGCACCCCGGTGGCCGTTCGATTCTCAACTGTGGGCGGAGAGAGCGGCTCGGCAGATACGGCACGTGATCCTCGTGGATTCGCTGTAAAATTTTATACGGATGATGGCATATGGGACTTAGTGGGCAACAATACGCCCATTTTCTTTATACGCGATCCTATACTGTTTCCCAGTTTTATTCATACCCAGAAGCGCAATCCGCAGACGCACTTGAAGGATGCGGATATGTTCTGGGACTTCCTGACCCTGCGCCCCGAATCCACTCATCAGGTTTCGTTCCTGTTCAGTGATCGTGGCACACCTGATGGCTTTTGCCACATGAATGGCTATGGCTCGCACACCTTCAAGTTGATCAATGCCAAGGGTGACCCCATTTACGCCAAGTTCCACTTTAAGACAGATCAGGGCATTAAGAACTTGGATGTAAAGACCGCTTCTGATCTGGCGTCAAGTGACCCTGACTATAGTATACGCGATTTGTACAACCGGATCAAGGGCTGCAAATTTCCTAGCTGGACATTTTATATACAGGTGATGACCTTCGAGGAGGCCAAAAAGTACAAGTACAACCCGTTTGATGTGACCAAGGTTTGGTCCCATAAGGAATACCCATTGATACCCGTAGGCAAAATGGTACTCGATCGCAATCCAAAGAACTACTTTGCCGAGGTGGAACAAATTGCATTTAGTCCGGCTCACTTGGTGCCTGGTATTGAGCCATCGCCAGACAAGATGTTGCAAGGCCGTCTCTTCTCGTACTCTGATACGCATCGTCATCGCTTAGGACCTAACTATTTGCAGATCCCAGTCAATTGTCCGTATCGTGTTAAGGTCAACAATTATCAACGCGATGGTTTTATGAATGCCACCGACAATCAGGATGGAGCACCAAACTATTTCCCCAATTCTTTTAATGGCCCGCAGGAGTGCCCACGTGCTCGCGCCCTCTCTACTTGTTGCCCGGTGACCGGCGATGTTTACCGTTACAGCAGCGGTGATACGGAGGATAATTATGGTCAGGTCACCGATTTCTGGGTGCATGTCCTAGACAATTGCGCTAAGAAACGTCTAGTGCAGAACATAGCCGACAATTTGAGCAATGCCAGTCAATTCTTGCAAGAGCGTGCGGTTAAGAACTTTACGATGGTGCATGCCGATTTCGGTCGCATGCTTACTGAGGCACTTAATCTAATCAAGTCCTCCAAGTTTTAGAAATTAGACTAAGCTTGCAGAGAAGTCAGTTATTGCACTTTAACTACAACTATCAGTTCTTTGGTTGCGGGAAAATGTTCATGGTTCTCAATAATATTTATCCCTACCCATTCGTGTGCCTTGCTTTAAAATGTTAAAAATTAGTAATAATGAAGACAAATTATACATTTGTAACGATTCGTAATAAACTAACCTTTTGATATAAAAAAAGTGTTTTTATTTAATAAGCGAAAGAATCGGGCACAAATCAAATGCCCATGACAACTGTGCTTTGGAAATTTTCAACGTTTGACCCAGATGCACCTGAGGCCTATCTAAATATAATTAATAAAAATGAAAATTGCAAAATCTCTTAAGCCGTACGAAATACAATTTTGACAATTTTTTAATTAATAGCAATAAAACGTGAACAGTAATCGATTATTTGAAACAAACTAGATATGCGCGTGATATTCAAAATAATTTCAAGTCTCTAGCTCTTGCTAGATCGATGCTGAGATCGATGCGTTCACTTATACGGATAGACGGACAGGGCTAAATCGACTCGGCTTCTCGTCCTAATCAAGAAAATACTTTATGGGGTCGCGACGCCCACTTCTGCCTGTTACATATATTTGCACAAAACCATTACACCATTAAACATTTTCAATGGGACAGGGTATAAAAATCGAAAATCATACAGCCGGAAAATGCCCTTGAAACTGTCCTTCAGTTCACAAATGTATGTTAGTTATTTTATATTATTATAAAGAAGAAGAGACTTATACACATCTAATTATCAGTTGTTTAATTTTTGCTACCCACTTAAATTTGTATCTGATAACGAATGAGTGTCTCCATTATATTTAAAGGTTTAAAACGTACATTCAAAAGATCTACAAGACGTAAATAGACTGGAATCGTTTTAAAGTGCTATATGAACAGACTTTAGTTGGGCAATAGCATTTTCGAAAGATTGTGGTGGGAAAACTAAAATTTTCAATTTTTATCAAAAGAATAAATTATATAGATGGTTCACCGCCTAATTATGAAATATCCGATATTTTACAATTTCATCGTGGGCGATTCCACAACATTTACACAGAGGTGCATATCGGCATCAACGTTTCATAATATTGACAACAATTTTAAGTTGGTTAAAAATATTTTTAATAAATTTACATATATAAAGGCAATGCCCGTAATAATTGAAACATCATTTTTTTTTTTATTTTGAGCTTTTATTTGATTTAAAACTATATAAAACATGTATCTTTTGAATATTAACATATTAATTATTAAAACTTATCTATTCGTGTGCTCATTTGTGTACGCATTCAAATATTGAGTAAAATTGTTTAATTTTCACAAGTTGCCGAACGAATTTCATAAAAATTATATTTGCAAAATCACGATTCGTCAGTCTGGTTACTAAAAAGAGTATAAAAATACATTTCAATGCCTGTTGTTTCGCACAACAAATATATATATAACATTTTATTTCCGCTAAATGCAATTATTAACTAGCACATGTAATTTTTCATAAATCTTCTTTTACCTTTAAAGGCTTTTAGTAAATGCGATTGGTTGCTGAAAGGACGTTTTATATCCTAATTATTGTTAACTTTCACACACTCATCTCGCTATATAACAAATTTCAGTTATCAATCAATTTTAGTCTAATAGTGTCACACAAAAGCAGTTATCATTAGAGTTCAAAGTTTTAGGATTGGGATTTGTAAATTCGTTCCAAAGTGTAATGGTTTTCATTGGTTACATTTATTGTTTTTTAACTTTTTACTTAATGGCGTAGTAGATCATAAAATTATTTAGTCAAAGGCACTTGTGTGTTTCTTTGTACAGGTTCCCTAACGACGCTACTCGGGGGGCTCGTGACCACTTTTAGACAAGACAACTAAATAGTCAGTTACCATTAATTAGAGAGTTTTGTTTAAGGCAATTTCAGTCAACAAGCGTGTGCCATTGACAGCCAATTGAGCCAATGGCTCCGAGCTGTTGGCAATCAGGTCGCCCACCAAATTTGAGCTGCTAGTAGATAGATCGGTTAACAGTTCAGTATTGTTTGCCAATAGACGAGTTGCATTAGCTGCCAACTCCAACAAATGCGTCTTGTTGGCAGTTATCTCGGCCAGCATGCGAGTCTTGTTAGCTGCTTCCTCGGCGGCAATTTGTGCCCATTCCGGAAATGTGTCCAAGTTTGGATAGATTACCATAGCCCAAGTTTGGCAGAAAATGAATAGCACTACAATGGTAATAATAGTAGGTCCAATACCTGCTATCGCCATATCCTTGCTGCGGATATGCGCATAGCCAGCAACAAGAGCATTTGGTGGCGTGCTCACCGGCAAATGGAACGCCATACTACAAGCAAGGCCTGCTGGAAAGACTAGGTACAGCGGGTGTATCTTCAGTGCCAGCGACTGTAATATAAAAAAGACAATTAATAGGCAATTCCACAGTTTTGATAGCCACTGTTACGCACCATCTCGTTGAGCACAGGTATGAGAATATTGGCAACAGCCACATTTGAGCTGAAGGCAGTCATAAATACAGCCACCAGAATGACGACCAAAAGCAATGCTGCGTTAGGAAGTACCTTCAGACCACTCATCGAACTACCAATCAATGTTGCCATGCCACTTTGCTTGCTGCCCGCTGCCAGGGCGAAACCACCACCAAGCAGGAAGATCAGACCCCATGGAACCCTAGACTGAATAAACTTCCAGGTGATCAGTGATGGGGTCGGCGTCGTTGGCACAGCGCCACGACGTGTGCAATATCTTAGGAATGCATAGTTGGCCGGTAGCATGAAGCACATGATCACCACAAAGATGGTAGGCATCGAGTTTTTAATCACCCTAAAAATATTCTTAAGCTATTAGTGATGTCATAATGATATAATAAAGGAGAGAATACTAAATCATTTTTAGTACTTGCATATACATAATTTGTAAAGCATTTAACAAAAACTATTAATCTTTAATGTATATGCAAACTTTGTTTCGAGCTATTTTCTGTTGCAACTATACCTTGTATAGAAATGCAGAACGAATTGTTAATATAATTCATGGCGTCATATCTTCCAATAAATATTTTGCTAAAAACGTTTTCTTGTTGTTATTAGAATCATATATTACTTAGTTAATTTTGTTAGTAATAGACAATAAATACTGCATTCTTTCATAGCAAACAAAGACTGTCCCAGATACTTACTTAACTCTACTATCAAAAACAAATTATGTTCGACTTTTCGACTGCGATTGAGTGTTCTGCGTTGAACAATTTCACAGTAATTCAATAGCACAAAAATTAAATAAGTATATGTTCAACTACTAAAACTATGGTCTGTGGCTTTTCCCTATTATTATTATATGATATATTATAAAAACAATTGCAGACCAGCTAAACAAATTGTGTTACTTTCTGTAATTCTTAACTAACCAATTACATTATCGAATATAAATTTAGTATTGCCTTAGCCAAAGATCTTAGTTTCGAGTAAAATTTTAAAAGACTTAGCTTCTCAGTTCTTAGTAGTTATAGATATGACGGCAATAGAAGAGTCAATGTTATTTCTGCTCCTTATTCAAAACAAATACTCACTTGGAGGGCAGCAAGTCAGCCCATCCGGTAAAGATGCCCGGCTTTCGTGTGAAGTACATGAAGACCATTAAAATGAAAAGTATCATCACTTGGATTTCATGCATATTCATAGGGCCTAGCTCTTTGTAACGTTGATCAATGACTTTCTTGGCCACATGTGCGTTATCCTTGCCCACCTGCACCTCCTGTGCCTCCTTGCTATTTGGCCGCCAGAGACCCATAAAATGCCATTGTAGAAACACATATGTAAGAACTGTATAGACCAACATAGACGGCACCGAATAGAACATAAATGTGGGGAAATCCAATTTTTCGGTAGCATTGGGGAATGCAGTGTCATAGATGCCCTTGAATGTTAGATTTGTTGCAGTTCCAATTATGGTGCCACAACCACCAAGTGAAGACGCATATGCAATTCCCAGGTAGTAGCATTGTGTCACCTTTGTCGGATACGGCAATCTGTAAAATTTGCCTATCTATAACCGTTGCATTGATTTAAGCTAATACTAGGTTTAACATACTCATCTTCGTTCTTCTTTTTGTTCTTTCCACCAACCATTTGATACTCTGGCTCATGATAGATTTTGCAGACACCTTGCTGTTAAACAACTTATATAATAAATAAAAAGTTTTTACTGTTTTTTTTTTACAAACTAACCGCTTGGAGTTCCTCAAGCACCGCCTGCACAATCGGGCTCATCATAGCTGTACAGGCTGCATTGGAAATCCACATGGATATGAACATTGTCACCATAATCAGGCCAAAATGTAGTCTGTGGGTTAAATAAAATTAGTGTCATATATAGCTTTCGAGCAGATAATGACAGCAATGCGGACCTTCTGGGACTGCAGCCCACCATTTGAATAACTCTAAGCGCTAGGCGTTTATGTAAGCCGCTGTATTCCACTGCCAGAGCAACCATAATGCCGCCCATGAACATGACTAGCGTATCCTTAAAGTAGGTCATACATGTCTCTTCAGATCCCTAGAACAAGAAAGCATTTAGCAATACTACTTAAATTTTGAATAACAAGAAATCAATCATTTTACCATAATGCCCAAAGTAGGAAATGCAACAATTGGTATCATTGATGTTACATATAAAGGCAATGCTTCTGTGACCCAAAACACAGCCATTATCAGTAGTATGTACATACATCGGTATTCCTGTAACGATAAGTCCGTAATCAGAATTAACAAATAACTCACAACAATACGACATTAATGACTTACTGGAATATTATTCATTAATATTATGGGCAGGCATAACAGAGGCATGAGAAATACGACACATCCTTTCCAGTGGTTGGCGAAAAAATTTCCCCATCGAGCTTGGGGCTCCACAGGTTCGGCCGCTTCTCTGTAAAATAATGTAAAATGATAATAATAATAATAATAAAATAAATACCTCCTACACTGTGCTTAATAATCAATATTTCTACTTACAGTTCCATTTTAAATTCTGGATTTAGCTGCAAGTAAATAAAAGTGGAAAACAAATTATTACAAGTCGAATATAATTTAAGTTAGAGCTTATAAATACATTTCGGTTTTTAGATGTTTTCATTTTTATTATTCTATTTTAATTCATATGTTGTTCAATTATCATCGTTTATACTTCGTTAAAATGTAATCCACAAATAGAGCAAAATCGACCGAAGTCAATTAAAAATCGACCAATTTGTCACCTAAATTGGTTTCTATATGAAATAAGAATAAAAACCGACTACATAATACTCGTTCAAGGTTAAAAAACTGTCGGTGCATTTCGAACTGTAATAAAACATAAATAAATAAATAGAACAAAAAATATCATATTCGAACAGTGGCCTCTATTGCACGTACGTCATTGCCCGCTGATCCATTTCAATGCGCAAGTTCTCCACAGATACAGCGCTGGACACGTTTAAAATACCATAAATACTTATCTTAAATTTAAAAATAAAAAAATACATTTTTCACAATGAATATTCAACATTTTAGTGAAGTTGTACTACAAAACGCTATAAATAAAAATGTTTATATAGCCGACAAGGCGAAAGCCAATTAAATATGCATGGTTTGCTTATGGAGGGCAACAAAATATAGCTGGGAAAGTGAAAATTACCAAATTATTAAACTTAAATCTTGGTTAATTTCTGTACACCGATAATTTATTTTTATCAAAGAACTCAACAAAACCAAGTATATACTTTTTATTCCATGTCCTGTCCAATATGGGTAAATAGGCTACCCTATTTTATACATTAATATGATAATTAAAGGAGACATATACTATATTCTTTAAAAGCTCTACATTCTCTAATCTCAAAAAATGCAAATGCTAATAGAGTACAGTTTTTAACGTCTGTTTTCATCCGTTACATATTTACAACAGATCAGTAAACAACGAACCTAGTAAATACCCGGTAGCCATTCGAGCATTCTAGTTTACTCGCACAAATATACTTTACTTTGTTGATTTAATTTGATAGCAAATAAGTTGTTATATGGCAACGGTGCTTACCACACTTTAAGCACATGAAACTCAAGTCAGAATATAGTTAAATAGTCATTCGTTATTAAAAAAAAAAAAACAATTAAATAATGAATTATAGAAACCTGTAATAGAATCTGAGATCTGAGTTATTACTAAATTAGACACACCTCAAAATGAATATTGGGTCACAAAATATTTTCACATGCAATTAAATACAATGAAGTCTAAAAAATGTTTAATTTCCAGCACACGATATTTAAAGCTTATTGAATAGATATAATTTAGGAAATAGTACACAACATTTGATTTGCTTTAGTTTGTTGTTTGTTAAATAATAAAGCTTATAAGAAAGAGGCCTTGCAAGTGACAATAACAGTAGGCAAAACTGACAGAGAGAAGCATATAAAGAATCAATACTGTAGATTTGACTCACATACGTCAATGGGCCAATAAAAAAAAAAAAAAACAAAATATCAATTGCCGACGATACGAGCCTCCCCATTTAATTGCACCATGTGTATCAATTTAAATTCAACATGAATTTTTTCCAGTGTCTACTGATACTACATACTTGCAATCTATATAAATTCATGGTGATATCATTCATCTCTGTAATTAATAGATTGCAAGTGAATGCGGACAATGCGATTGTTGATTTATTTATTAACAATTTATTTACATTTTTTCAGAGCTCGATTGGTAAACATATTTATATATTCCATTAAACAAGAAACAAGAAGTTCTTATAATAACAATATGTACTTCTAGCTCATCTTTGTGTTTTTCCTCCCACAATTATCGTGTTGTTGGCATCGTCAATTACACTCTAATAATTTGCTCCACAGCCAACTAACACTATTACTACTCACTTTATAGATTACAATCACACAAATTTCAATTGTCAGTTGTAATTATAGAGTGCCCTTTTCTAGAAAATTAGATGGGAGTGATGCAAAAGCTATGAAATAGAATTCTATTATTCAAGTATTGATATACTCTTCTAATGAGTCGGTATATATTTTGAGATGTATATATTAGAATGTATATATATTAGAATTATAAATTAAGAATGAAATATGATTCCTAATGGATTTTTGTATTGTAAATTCCAGATCTACTTACCCTCTACATTCTTAATATTTTTGAAGTTCCAAAAAAACAAATTTATATTGGACTTTTAGATTTATATGACATACATCTCAACATAATGCTTCACTTTGATTTTGAATTTGACTGCCCGACCAGAATATACTTTGCATCATGCGAAGAGCTGATATTCTCTTATGTATATATTACAAGCAACACATGCACATCTACACATAATTACGCACCCTGCTTACTGCGCAGTTTACACAGCGACTGCGTTTTGGCTGGAGAAATGGTTTCACTTAATAACTTGAATAACTGTTCTTCTAAATATAATGTTCTAATCAAATTTTCCGCGCGTGATAATGACATTAAGCACATATGCCAAAGTACAAGTCTCTAGTATTTGAAATGAATTCTTTACGAATTTGGGGGCATTTAAAATTACAAAATTAATCATTACAGCGACCTATAGAGTAAACGTGAAGTTAAAAAATAACATGAACTACTCATGGAATTGAAAATAAGAGGTTGCGAGATATAGTATAGTGAAGAAAAGATGGCTGTGCATTCATTGTCTGAGTTCGATAAGTGAAATGTTTACAAGTTAATTGATATAATGGGTCGTAAAATACATTTCGGTGCAATAGTGTTTGAAAACAAGGTTGGCAGCTTCAATAGAAGCAGAAACTTTGTCACTTCTCAGGTATCAGGAAATTACATGCCAGTCGCTTAATTTATTGTTAGTGTGCTTGAAAGAATTACTATAATGAAATGTCTTTAGTTAATTACGAACTCTAATAAACCAAAATTATTTTCACAAAACCATTATACCCAGAATACTCATTTTCAATGCTTCAGGGTTTAACTTGTAAGAATAGTGCTGTCGGGTGATACCGGCTACATAATACTCAGTGGCTGCAGGCTTCACAACTTTGGAAGATATATTTTTTCCGATTTGTCACGCTTTTATATATATATATTTTAATATTTATATATATATATATATATATTTTAAATATAAAAGAATTTGTTCAAAACACTATATAGTCAGACTGGGTATAGTCTCTAAATTGAATAGTGGCAAAATGAGTTGCGTTCACACTGACAGGTGGACGGACTACAAGACAGTCATTGCACTTCGTGAATGGGTATAATAAGGCAAGAGAGTGGGTCTTATTTTTATTATTATAGTTAGCCTAGTTTAAAAAAGGGGGTAGATAGCACTGACTGCAAAGCCTTCAGCTATAAGCTAAAAGTAACCAATATTAATAAGTGCAAACTGGTTCTAACTGGGTAACCGATCAAAAGCTGTATCTGTATCTGCTGTATCTCGCAACCATATTGAGCACATTCAGTTGTGACTACTAAATGCATAGACGTTAAAAGCGAAGTACTTAAGTTTTACAATACCCTAAGAATTTATTATACTTTTCCTAGTCTTGCAAATATAATTTGTATACCGTATTACGTCATATAAAAATGTATAGAGTTCCAGAGTTACTTGAAATGAGATCTTGTCTTATCGACAAACTATATACTCCAGCTTACGACATGTAACCTCCTCAGCTAAGATGCTTCAATGGATGCTAGTACTGGAAAAATTCTTCTAACGGTTGACATTATATGTTAATATCTAGTTTGGATTATACAATAATCGCAATAATCGAATTTCTCTTAAACCACGTCATAGAAAACATCTTTAAATATTTCAGTGTATACAAAGAGTACAAGTTGAGACCGCCCTAATTTCTCAACTATTGATAAGAAATATGTATTTAGACTGAATTCGAGTAATAGACTATATAAAAACTTGTTGCTGTTGTTGTGCACTTTAGACCCTTAACACAAATTTAATCAGTGACCAGGAGATTATTAAACTCAAAGTACACACAAACTAAAGTTAAATTATTTTTGGTTAGGCAGTTATGCTGCAAACAAATTTTAATTTTGAACTGTACCCATATGCCCCAAATAAGACCATGTCCTCATTTTCAATCCGGCAAGTTTGAACTGAACAGTAACCTTTGATCGATTGGTGAACGACTAAGCGAATAAATTGCATATGGTAATTGAAATTGTGGCCGTTCACCTATGGCGCTCTTGACAACAGAGTGAAAATCAAAGCAAAAATATGTTTTGACTGATCTATTATAAAAATGGATATTAAGTCTTTCTAAATATTTTTGATCAGAAAGGTATGAACGTAGAATACATTGAAAATTAGAATTCAGGGTATTATGAAATTGTAAAAGTTTGTGCACCAGACAGCTGGAGGTGTGGCAGAACCCATAGAGAACATCAGTTTTTTTTTATCAGGCGAACCCTGTTTGTCTGTACGTCAGTGTGATCGTGTCTCTGTCTATATTCTTAACCACAAAAGAAGAGACTTGCAATTTTAAACATATATTTCCATATACCATACGCAGTAGGAATTTATAATTTTTTTCGATAGTATATTTTATTTCAATAATAAATAATAAAATCAATAATTTTATTTTTAGCTTTTTGGCTTGCTTGAACACCGCAAGGCCAGTAATGAATTCAAAGATTGTGTATATGTCCGATTGGATACCTCCACCTTTCCACTAACTATTTGACGTAATTCAAATAAATACTTACATAGTCAAAACACTACATTATGGAATGTTCTATGTTATATGTTGTATGATATGCTCTGTTTGACTGTGACATTTGCATAGATACTTGAAATGTCAAGTTCTACAATTATTTTCAATATTCTCTTTGGGCGATTGACCTTCATTCTCTCATTGTTTTATTTGCTTTTAAATTCAATTATACTTAACCTTTATTGAACATTTCCTTAGTTAATGTTCAGCATATTAAATAAAATATATAGTGTGAAATGCATTATGCGACTATTTAAGTTTCTATAGATGGAAGTTC